AACTATAATGGGTTTACTTTTTTTGGTTTTAACTCTCTTCTGGAAAGCTCTCTCAGTTCCATCATTGTCCTGCTCCTGCGAGATTGATACAAGAAGACTACAAAGATTGTAAATAAGGGTAAGCATTGGAGACACTCAGGTAAGGACATTAGGGAGGCAAGAGCATCAGTTACAATTCAAAGAGAACTGAAGATATAGTGACTGTTTTGCTAGTCTACCTTTAAAAGTGATCAGGTTTTTTTACCCTCAGCTGGGGAAATAATTCAGTAGAGAATTATTAAAAGAAATAGAAACTTAAAAGTAATTTTCAGATAAATTACATTGAAGTGATTCTGTGGCTTGGGGGAGTGAGGAGAAGGTCCCAGATCCCTGACTTTTTCATATGGATCTCTAGACTATCACTGAAAATTTCACTGCACAGCCACCAAAGCTGTAAGCTGTAAAAGCTCCATTTGATGCACAGCAGCTGACACCTGATGACATGAGGTACAGAGCGAACATTTAATCCAGAATACTTCCTGTGTAGACTTACAGCAGGATGCCATAACAACAGAGAGCCTTGGAGTGAATTCCTGCATCACTGGAGTCAAAAGCAAACTTCCACTCATTTCACTGAGACCATGGTACCCCTACTGTTTGCAATAGTTGAAAATCTCAGTATGGTTTGGTTTACCTGAGGGTTTGCTTGCTGTAACTGTGATAATCACAGCTGTGATCCATCAGCACAGGGAAGTGTGTCACTGGAGCAAGGCTCAGAAAGGCTGAGGATAGCAGTAGGAAGGCAGCTGTGGAACACAAAAACTAGAAAGTTTGAGAGCAAAATGCAAGATACTTTATCTTAAAAGTTTGCTTTCAGAATTCAGCTTCCTATATAAACGTTCTGCTTCTGAGTAAGAAAGATACAACTTATCTCTAACTGCATTTGCAGGGCAGTAGCCTGTAGGACTGTGCTGCTGTTACACGAATGCAGAAAGAGCAGCTAAACCATTGCAGGCGACTGCGGCTGACTTAATTCCTAACTCCTGCTCCAGGGCATGACATTGGTATGATGTAATGAGATCGGGTGAAGCCGTAGCGAGAAGCACCAACATCAGCACTGCCTTCTTGGGAAATAGGATTCATTCTGAAATCTGGAAGGAGAATCAAGTTCTGTGTCTCAGGGAAAATGGTAAGAGATGGAACTCAAAGGTACATCAGTACATTTTGGAAAGTGTCTGTATTGGAAACAATACAGGTCCAACCTAGCTTGGCTTGTATAAAGGTAAATCTTTATTCTCTTCTGACCTAGTTTCCTAAGCACACGCAATTTCTGCAAATCTCTGCAAGAGCCGTGGGTAACCTTCACCACTAACAGGACACCAGTGCTTAAGGAGCTCTGGTGGTTCACAAGTTATCGTGAAGGTTGCAGTGAACCTGTGAGGAGGAAGCAAATTTGTTTAAAAGTCATTGTATCTTTCAAAAGCATTTCGAGGCTCAGTCCTCAGCCACTTTCTTCTGCTCTAACAACTTCCAGAAATTCCGCTCAAATCCCGGTTTCACACTGTGCTTGTCTCTAGACATCTGTAGCCCAAAGAATTTATAATCCATTTAGGGAGATTAAAAAATTTAAAAAAAAAAAATCTCAGCAAGCATGTTGCAGAAGTGCGGGTCTCGCACGGCACGCGTGTCCCGCAGCCCGCGTCGGGGATGTGCACAAACAGCGCGCCGCGAGGGGCGGTTTCCCAGACTTTGTCCGGCCGTGTGGTCGTGCCCGCGGGCAGCGCCGCTCCCGCCCCGCCGGCCCGGCCGGACACAGCGGCGGCGGCCGGAAGCGCNCCGGGGCCGCGTCCCCCCTCGCAGCCCGCCTTTGCCGCGGCTCGCCGGGGGAGCGGCGCCGCGCGGCTGCCGCTGCGGACGTGCCCGGGGCTGCGAGCGCAGTCCCCGCGGGACGCGGCCGAGAAAGTTTTGGAAGTCCCTCCTCCGGCAGCCGATGCCGCGAGAAGGTCTCGGCGCGGGGGCTGCCCCGCGGGACGCGCGGAGCGGGGGGGCCGGGGCTGCGCGGCCACAGTGGCACAGGGACCCCGGGCGGCAGCTCATGTGCTGCTCCAGAAAGGTGCGCGAGCAGCGCTCGTTACTAATTCGCCCCGCGGCAAACGTGTCTCGCTTTGCATGGCTCAGCGTTCCTCTGATGGAAAACCCGCGCTGTCTGTCCCATCCGCCGCGATGTGACAGACACGAGCGGGCCCGCCGCGTTAATCGCCTGCGGTGACAGCGGGGCTGGAGCCCGGCCCGGGAGCGGGGCGGTCTGCCCGGCCTGTGCTTCGGGCTGCCACGGAGAGAGGGCTGGGAGAAGAGACATCCCGCCTAGCCCAGGGGAATGAAGGCCATTGCCTGGTCCTCAAACTTCCCTCTCATCCTAGGGATGAAAGGATGCAGAATGGGGAAGGAGTCGCAGTCTCCCAAACCCTGTTAGTGTTCAGTCGGTTTCAAATGCCTTCCTTGCCAGCTCGTAGGTTTGCTCCAGGTCTGTAATCTGTTCTGATCTGCGACCCGTTGTTTGTGATCCTGTGCATCCCCAGCTTTTAGCTGTGCACGGTGTCATTTGCAGAAATGTGAGTCTGTGCAGAGGCTTTTTATGAGTGGTGGGGCAAAAGGGAAGGGTCCCATCACAGCGGTGCATTCCTTAGAGATGGGCAGGGATTCAGAGAGAAGGGAGTGCTCAGGGAGTACTAGAGACCTTTTGTGCTTCTGCCGAGGTCAGGGTTTCCAGGAGGAATTCAAAACTCTCCACAGGGCTAATGGAGGGAGGTGGCTCATGCAGAGATTTTTTGGCTGAAAATTATGTGTCCTCCCTGGAAAATAACTTTTTTTCCATTCCATGCAGTACTCTTTTGCAACTGTAAGACCAGGCAACTGGGGAGTTTTTTTGGCTGAAAATTATGCGTCCTCCCTGGAAAATAACTTTTTTCCATTCCATGCAGTACTCTTTTGCAACTGTAAGACCAGGCAACTGGCTTCCAGGGAAAACACTGGTAAAAAAAGCCTTTTATTTTTTTTTTCCTTTCAACAACATCTAAAATGTTATTATGTGGCAATGAGCAATTGCATTGAGAGAAGAAATTGTATGGTCTGAGAAGGCAGAATGTCTAGGAAGGGAGTAATAGAAGCATGGTCATCATGTCAATGTTTCATTTTCTCTTTTCTAGTAGGTTTTTGCCTTGGCATTTTTATTTTGTCCATGTTTTCTCAGTCACTGCCTGCTACAGAGGTGCTCAGTGAGCACTGTGAGGTAGGGGAGGCCCTGGCAGCCTCATGGATCTCCTGGCTTGGTGTGCAGCTTCCTCTGCCCCTGCTCAGGAGCATGTAAATTGCAAATTCCCATTTATTTGTTCTTTCTGGGCTGGGAAAACCTAATGGTTATTCCAGTCCTGAGGCTGTTGCAGGAGGAGCTGAGCAGACCTGAGTCCTGAGTGCTCAGACACGTGGTGCTCTGGAGAGTGCTGCCCGTGGTCTTGGTCACCAGGCTGTAAATCAAGCACACCTGGGAGCTGTGATCCCAGACAGAGAATTGTCAAAACTGATATGTAAATGACCCACTGGCTATTTTTCTCTCAGAGTTGCATGCTCTTAAGTATGTGATAAACCCTACTTGAGAAAACACATCTCTAAACCTGTTTGTGTCTCTGCCTTGTGACCACAGATGTCTCTGAGAGCCTGCAGTGCTTTCTCTAGAAATTTCTCAAGACATTCTCTGACTGGGTTCCTAAAACAGATGCTGTTGTCTAAAATTAAGGGTAGATATAGACTTCCTCCATCCTTTGCAACTGTTTTGACAGGGTATTATTTTCCTCTTGAGCAGTTTTTTTCCTATGACTGCATCTTCACTGCTTATTTTCTTCCTCTTAAGTATTTGCCATAGGGGTAACCAGTTTGAATGTTTGAATTTAGAGACTTTGCTAATGTTCTAATGAGATGGAGAAGCAAAGGGGCCGTAGAGATAAAAAGTGCTGCTTCTTTTTTTTTTTTTTTTTTTTTTTTTTTTTTTTTTTTTTAAATGGGTTTTTTGTTTTTATAAAAAAAGAAACTGAGGGTTTTTTTTTTTTTTTTTTTTTTTTTTTTTTTTTGCAAGTGGTTATGATGTGTTAAGAATAAGGAAATGCTGGGAATATACTCTAAGCAATTAGCTGGACACAAAGAGCAGTTCAGGTGCGTCCTGGACAATACACCGAGTTTCTCATAGATGTTTTATAAACATGAGGAATTTATTGCATGAGATAAGGGGTTGTTCCTGAGGCATGATGTCTCAGGATGATGGTCTGGCTGCACAGGAGTAAAGAAATGTGCTGCTTTTTCTTCATGTGAGTAACAGCAGAATAAAGACCTGTGGGCCACAGTAAGTTGACCAACACTAATGTGAGTTAGGGAATCAGTTTTCTGCTCTTTATACCCATTTGTTTTCCACCACCATCCTCTTTTTGAGGAACCTGATCGCATTTGTGGTTGGAAGAGAGACATGTAGCCAAGTATGCAAACCTTTTTCAGAGTCCTGGACATGACCTTTGTCCTGTGTGCTACTGTGTCTGTCTCTAAGACCCTTTCAGGTGTCCCTTGGGGCTTTTGTGGGCTGTGAGTGTGGAGAATGAAATGCAAGAAATCGACCTGTTGAATCAATTGCAGTATTTACTTTTCCAGATTGATTCTCAAAAGCTGTGACAATGTTACAGAAGAAATTTGTGCTGCTTCCCACTGCTGAGCTGTGTCGTTTGTGTTGCTTCTTCATAGGCATATATAGTTGTATAAATTCTGATTTATACAACTTATTTTTGGTGTGTTCCTCACAAAGTTCTCAGTCATTTTATAGGTCTAATCCAATCATAAAGGATGAGGACATCCATCAGGCTCACTGCAGGGTTGGAAGGGGTGTAGGCCTGAAGGACTTCAAAGAAGGGATTTAATCTTGCAAATGAAATGGTATCTGCATCAGCTGTTTCTTTTTCTCAAAATTAAAATAAAAAAGCCAAACAAAACAAAAAAAAAATCCAACAAAAAGTAGTGCTGGAGATTCTGCATCCTGTATAACCTGTTTCAGTATATCCCCACTTTGACACTATATATATTTATTTATTCATATTCAGGCTAAATCTTGTTTACCATTTGAACTGATGTGGAAGAAGAGTACTTTCCCCCTTTCTTGTGACTCTTAATGTATGCAGACTGCTCTGTTCCTTTGGTGTTATCTTTTTAAGACTAAACACACTCAGGTCCTTTGGTTGTTTTTCCAGGTCCTGCTCTCTGCACTCTGATTTTTGTTTCTTTCCACTGCAGTGTCTCAGATTTTTGTGTGTGTTTTATGAGGATGAATATGTGGGGCTGGATGTGGTCTGTTGGCTAAAGACTCACCTGACTACTGCTGTGTCCCAGGCTGACTTTTACCCTTTTTGTAGCAACACAAGCCTGCTGGCTTGGAATTAATTTCTCAATCAATGTGCTTTTTCTTTGTGGCATGTTGGAATTACTGTTGTGTCATTTCCATTTGATTTCACACCTGCCACCCCTGCCCTTAGTGTACTGTTTTGTACTGATCTTTACTGAGATTTGATAGTAGGTTGTAGGTAGGTGTGGGGTTCCTGCAGCCAGATCAAAACACTGCAATAAGATGCCCCAAAATCTTGAGCTGGTTTGAACTTGCTGTGTTGAGGGATTTTAGTTTTTCTGTTGTAAGAGAAAAGTGATGGCTTTAGTGGTCCTAGCTCAACTAGCCAAGCCAGTGTCTTCACTGATTCCTTCTTGCATCCCTGCTTCTGATGGTCACTGTGCTTGGAGATTGGTGTTCTCCTTCGGAGATGCCATGGGACCCTGTCCCTTAATTTCTTTTTGATTGCTTTTGATTGCAGCTTGGCTTCCTCCTGCAGTGTTTTTGTTCAGGGCCTGAAATTGGCAAAGGGCCATGAATTTAAAAAAGCAGTTTTTCCTGCTCATTTGTTCTGATACCGCTCACTGTGGAGTCTGGCATGAGCATGGAGAGGCGATGCTTCATGAAGGAGAGGGGGGACAAGGGGCAACACTGCCCTTTTCATCCACAGCCTTAGATTGGCTCCAACATCCTGAATTTTGTCTTGAGAGTTTCAGGTCCCTTTCTGTCTGGCTGTTACTTAATGCTTTGATATCTTTATCAATTTCTTATCTTATAGGTAACTACCAACTGATCATTTAATTTAATCAGGAGTCCTTCAGAGGATTGAAGTTACTGGTGTGTAACTTCTCCCGCCTTTTTTTTTCCTTTTATAAAGGTAGGTGAGGCATGATGCTTCTCCAGCCTTCTTGTGGCCTGCCCATACTCCTGTAAATTTTCAAAGATGGTCACTGATGCTTCAGAGATTAGACTGGTTTCTTACATGCTTTCTGGTGAATGCTGTTATTACCTCTCAAGAGCTGTTTTGTGAACATTTGTTAGGTCTGTCTTTTTCTAACCCACCCTCTCCTTCCATTTCTAAATTATTTTTGCTTGTCACATTTCACTTTTTCTTCTGGAGATTGAAGGAACATTTGTACTTCAGCCTTTACATAATTTGCTTTCTTTCCCTCTTTGTTAATGACTGTAATTATCTTTTTCTCTTCTAACATGCCCTCTTCTCCAGTTTTCTTGTGATTGCAGAGCTCTTACTAACAGCTGTGCTGATTTTGACTAATAGACCATCTAGTCCAGTATCCTTCTACAAAAGGATGAAAACAGGACAAGTAGATACGGTACTTTTCAAGTACACTTCCATTTTCCAGCTTCTCTCATATCAGGGAATTTCCTCTGTCTAATGTGAGCTGTTTAACCATTAACAATCAATAGATTTGTCTTTCTAGTACTTGTCCTGTCTTTAGATGAGTGCATGTAAAATTTTTCGGCATTTTTGGAGAAGCACTATCACCCCAGTTACCTGCTGATGAAGGGTCATATTTGTTTGTTTTGAAGCTGATCCTCGCTGGCTCCATGTGGATGGTGTCAGCATTTGTGTCTGATGAGATGGTGAATAATCTATCCTGTTCCCCATCTTTTCACCACTCATGAGTTTACAGACCTCTGGTATGTTGCCTGTCTTGCATCCTAATTTGTTACAGGGGTGCTGCTCCATGCCAAACAGAAGACTTACCTGGGTAGCATCTCTGGTCAATATCTTTTGCTAAAGACTTGGGACACTGAAGGGCAAGAACAAGGATACTTGGTGTCCTTGTCCAGCCCATCTGAAGGGAAATAGTGAAAGCCTGATGCTTTCGCAAGATGTCTCAGTTTGCTGCACCTATTGATAAACAGCCCCTCTGCCCTTTAGTGCTGTGTGGAAATCCAGAAGAGTTTTAGGTGTTCCTCATGGGTATTCATACCCTCATGGGTATTTACACTGAAGGGAGGGCTTGGTGTGGCCAAGGCTTTTCCTCTGGGATGGTGGAACAGAGGGTTGAACATGTTTTCAGGACTTCTTTCCCCTTATCTTTTCAGAGATTGGCCAGCCCGGCTGAGACCACTTAGCAATGACAAAACAAAAACTCCTGCTTGATGGGACACTCTCCTTGTTGCTGATTGCGGCCTGTGAAGCTCAGCAGCTCCCGAGGAGTCATGCTGCTGCCAGTTCTGGTTCTCTGTGTGACAAGGAGGCAGACTCTTGGGGACACCTGTTCAGCAGCGAGCGGCTGGATGCTTGGATCTGTTCCCTCATCGGTTCCTTCATGGTGGGGCTGAGCGGGGTCTTCCCGTTGCTGGTGATCCCCCTTGAGACAGGAGCTGCGCTGCGCTCTGAAGGTGAGTCTGCCAACTGCATTGGCCTTTCTGAAGCCCAATATCCTGGGATGTGACAACAGCACAGTGGTGAACAGGACCTTGTCACAGAAATGTTGTTCTCCAAGATAGAAAGTCTGTTTTTTGGTCCTTTAATGAATTTAATGAATCTGTGAATTTGAAAGGGAGTCCTTAGACAAATGTAAACCCTGGATGGAGCTTGTACAAAGAGTACTGTTTTTCACCCTGCTTGGTTCAGGACAGTTCACACACTACTGTCTCAGCCAAGTGCTGTCAGGGCTTTTTCTTGCACTCCATTTGGTTGTGCTCTCTCCTTCGAAAGCTTGCAGATGCTTCCAGTTTGGATTTCTTCGTGCAAAATCTCATCTGGAGATGCCTTGGTTCCTGGCTGAGTAGTGATCAGGTTTTTTTCTTCTTGTTTCTTCTTTTTCTCTTTTTAGCTGGGTCACAGCGTTTGAAGCAGTTGTTGAGTTTTGCAATTGGTGGACTACTGGGAAATGTGTTTCTCCACCTGCTTCCTGAAGCCTGGGCCTACACGTGCAGTGCAACAACAGGTATGAGAGCCTTATGTGCCTGGAAGCAGCTTGTGCTGTGCCTGTTTTGAGTCTGTTCCTCCTTGAAAGCCCAAGACCAGCCAGTCTGGGTCAGCCCAAAAACTGGTCTAGGCTGGTATCCTTTTCCAAGTAATATGTAAAAGCAAATGCCTAGGGAGGGATGTGAGAATAAAAAAACACACACGTAATGCTTCATCTTTGTACTCCACAATCCTCCAAAGACTTTGAAATTAGAGGCTTACTCAATTTGCCATGGTTTCTTTATGTTTAGTAACTTGGAATGGTTTTCTTGTTTATTGACTTTCCCTTTGTGCCTTTGACTCCTGTAACTCTGTTGATTTTCCTTTGTTCCTTCTGTAAGGCAAGGGAATGCTTCCTTAAGCTGAAGGGAGGTTATGGTTGTGTATCTGGTCTGGTACATGGACATGTTCACTGTCTTAGTTGGGGATCAGGTTCACCTTTTTTACAAATCTGTCCCTGTAATAGTGTTACTCCTAAAATCTCTTTCTTGGCACTAACTGGGGCCCCTCTGTTGGATGCTTTGATTTATGGGAGCTCACGTGTTGGCAGTCTTTGCTTCGTGAGAAATCATGGAACGTTGTGTATAGAGCCACAATTAAGATTGGGGGGTGGGGCAGGGGAAGAAAAAGGAAATGGGGGTGACAGAAACTTGTGTTTGCCAGCAAACTAAACACTGAATTGGTATAGACCTTTTGATATCAGTGTAGCTCCTTCATCCCTCAAATAGCCAGGGTTGCTGAAACCTATAATGTTTGTATCTATCTGCTTCAGCAAACTGATATCACAGAAGGCAGGTGCTGCTGCATCCCACCTGTTGAGAAACCAAGAAGTCATTTTCCTGCTGAAAATGCAAGAGAGGGAAGATGATGCCCTGGGTTTCCCAGACTTTTTTGCACCTATGTCCTGGGATTTCAAATCTGCCAGGCCTTTAGTCCTCTTCTTTATTACAGCTCTAGCACTGTCAGCAAAACCTCCTGTACTTTTTTTCACCCTTTCTACAGTGGTTCCCAAATTACTCTGTCTTTCTGCTCAAGCTTGTTTGCTTCTGCCAGACTGTCCTGAAGTGTAAAGGTTTCCTTGACCCATGTAAGTCTTGATACAGAGTCGTTCTGTTCTTCCATTGCAATGCAGTTTCCATTTCTGGCAGTGAGGCTGAATGGATTATTATCTCAAAAGCTCGGCTGTAATTGAAAAGAAAGTTTATAGCTTTGGGCTTAATAACTTGCTGAGGTGTGGCAGAAAGGGGAAGGTGAGTTTGTAACTCCACTAATGGCACATTTCATGTCAGGGCTTGCTGCTCAGTAGGTACAGCTGCTGTATTTCTGTTGATGTAATATTCACTTGCCTCTGGAGCTCAGGGAAATTCCCAGTGTTGTCAGGAAATATTTGGGATTGAGCTGATGTGGAGAAAGGGATGGTAGCTCTCACTCTGAGTGTCTTGAGGTGATGATATCTGTTAAATCAAGAATGGGCAAGTTAAACTAATCTGTTTTGAGATGTATTTACCCCTCCTACCTTGCAGGGAGATTTTCCGCTGTCTTTTTTTTTTTTTTTCTTGGAACTGTGTGAAAAACTATGTATTTAATAGAGACATGAAGATTTCTCTTTTGTCCTTCAGGAGAAGGGCAGAGCTTTCAGCAGCAGAAGCTTCTGGGTCTCTGGGTGATCATTGGTTTCCTGACCTTCCTGGTGCTAGAGAAGATCTTCCTAGAGAAAGAGGAGGAGTATCCTGGTGTGGTAAGTTGGTAGCCTGAGCGGGGTGGGGGGGAAGTACTCTTATATTTGAAGCTCTGTACTACATAGCTCATCTGCCCTATCTGACAGTGTCAGGAAATTATCCTGTAGCTGTGAGTACCTTGTCATCGCCCTTTGGGAGTTTTTTGCCACTTCTTTGCCACTGTTTTGTAGGAGTAGGTTTCATCTTCAGGCTTTTGTTTTGTGGTTTTAACTGAGATTTCTCACTTCTGGTTTGGTTTTGTTCTTTATGTGGTAAGTGTAAAAGAGAGCTCCTGTTCTGTGGGGGCTGGGAGCTGGAGCACTCTGCAAATCAGACTTTTGCTCAAGTAAGCTTTGAGGGGTGACAGCTTGCTGATGCATGTTCCACAGACCCATGGTGGCTCATTCCCTTTCTGGGTCCTCAGTCAGGATAAAGGCTAGCCTTCTTGAAGATGTTTCTTCTTGGTTATGTCCTGAACCAGATGTTGTTTGGGTGACTTTGTGTGGTAGAAGGGATTTATGACTGGCCAGGTAATCCTAAGTTCAAAGGAGTCACCCAGCTGCAAAGGGGAGAAGTAGATGAGGTAGCAGAAGGTAATTCCAAGACAGAGGAGAGCACCTAGTCTTCAGAGATCTGCACAACTCCTAGTTGCAGCTCCTTTAGACTGTTGAGTCCTTGCTGTGCCATAACTTTTGAGAGGTGAAACTGCAGGTCAGGCACTACGTATGAGCAATTAGGTGTTAACTTTGACTCAATGTGAGACTTTAATGCCCGAAAGGGACTTCATCTTCTCATTTAGAGAGAGGCTGAAATCCTGGGTAAATATCTTGTTGTTTGGAAGGTGATGATCCCAGCTATAGAATAATTCTGTAGACTTGGCTGTTCTGATGCACTGGAGAGAGCAAGACTCTTTTCCCCATCTCCTGCCCAGATAGAGTGTATTTGTCTGGGTGGTAGCTCTATCAGGAGGTGCAGGCTCAGTCCCTTATCTTTCTGGTGGAACTTTACTCATGGCAAGGGGCTGTGGCTCCAGTTCCTCCCCTTTCTATTTCTCTTGAGGATTGGGAGGTCTTAGCTCTTGTCTTTCAGGGCAGATGTCACAATGCTCTCTGAATCTGTCTCATTTTTGGCAGTTGTTATTAAACTGGGGTGTCAAAGCTGCTGAGTCACATTGTAAGGACAAAAGGATTAAGGGTGAAGGTTGAATTTCTGATCCTGATTCATGCTCATTCATCACTGAAAAAAAAATCAGTGACAAGTTTGTTTCACCTAATTTAGGACTGTGATTCCAAAGCATCGTCTGGAAAGATTCCCAATGGAAGTGGCTGCCCGCTGCCCAAGGGGTCCTCTCAGTCCCAAAGAGCACGAGCTCAGTGTAATGGCTCCTCTCTCCAGTCTGGTCCAAAAAACAACAGAATCAAGGTAAGAGGCCCACAAACTCACCTTCACTTTTTAGTCAGGAATTGTCTGTGGAAAGACTGTGCTTGAGTGAGGAGCTCAGTGTTTGAGTTGTGCTTAATTTTGCTCTGTCAAAGTGTGTCCTGGTCACACCAGGGAAGATATAGCAGACTTGGAGAAAATCTACACTGCAGCTTATGTGGAAGAGGAAGAGTCAATATTATAAAGACACAAGTGTGATGATGTGTGTGTTGGCTGAATTCTGGTACCAAAACACAGAATTTCATGTTTTGTTACTCTATATTTTATAGTCAATATGTCTTTATTTACTTAATTTTTTGCACCATGATTTCTCTGTTCTCTACTGCCTGCATTGTACTGATTCTGAGCTGCACTTTTCCTTTTAAGGCACCTTTTGGAAGTGTTTTGACACCTTTAGGAAGTGTGTTGAAGCTACTAGTGTAGAATTTAAAAGTTCCGTTTCTCAGATTTTCAGTTTACCTGCTGCCAAAAAGGACTTCTTGTCCACTTCTGTCTCCAAACCTGTATTTCCCATCGCTTCCTTTGCACTGGATCTCATCTGACCTCACAGTGAGCCTATTCAGGGAGCTAAACAGGCAAAGAATTTGCTTGTCTACACCCACACACCCACCTCCCACCCCCCGGTCTATTTCTCTCCTAACTTAACTTCTTGAATCAGCTTGGCATGCAGACAGGCAGCCTGTAGTGCTGGGGTAAGGGAGATCAGCAGGCTCATAGGACTGGAGGGGGAGGAAGAGTCCTGCACCATGGGGAAGCGGATAACCTCCACATTGGCTTTGCTTCCTGTTCCATGTTACTATCTTTGTACTGTGGAAAACCCTTTCTGGGTGAACATCACAAGAGAGAGAGTAAACAACCGCTTTGGTGAAGGAGGACCTGCAATGTGAGTTGGAAATCCCATAAAAATGTGCAAGATTGTACGAGAGTAACTATGGGCAGAAAGTGTGCTTGCATGAACTCTGTGGTCAGGCAGAGGCTCTTCAGTCTTTCTATTTTAAATCTGTTTTGCTGTAACTTTATAGCTCTTCCTACAGAACATGAAAGTTATGCTGAGGTCACTGAGTATTTTTGACATCTGTCACATTCATGTAATTTGCACATAACACTGCACAAAGTGCAGGGTGCCATGTGGATGTTCCTAGAGGTGGTGGTAGTGAAGATACCAATATTACTGGGTTATGAAACATTATGCCCTAATTTTAGAAGGGTTTATATAAGGAACTATAGACTACTGTTTTCAAGTAGAAATGAAACACAGATAGGTGATACAATTGCTCAGGGCATGGTTCCAATATAAAAAATAATAATGTAATTAATGCTAATTGATATGATTTTATGTAAGATAAATTCTTATCAACCAGACATTCTTCCTGCCTCTTATTCAGGCATAAAATTGTTTAATAAAGGTCATGACATGTATATAAAACATAACTTTGTCCCCCATTCTAATCAACTTTGCTAATATTAGCTGTATTAAAAATCTGTTATTCTGTGTTATCAAAAGGGACTGGTTTAATGCAGCCCCCCTAAAATCTGTTTGGGTTATGATTTTTCTAAGTTATTATTTATAAAAACAGTATATCTTCAGATTTGCAGGTACTGCGTTACATAAATGGCACATTGTGACTGCATGAAGTCAGTGATAGCAGCTAAACTGAGTAACTTCATCAGAAAAATGTGCTGAATTTTTAATAGGTTTTGATACATCCAATTACAAGGAATAGATTAAGAGGGACCTCAGATCATATTTACATGATAGGGATAGTTTCTATTTAGTCAGTGCCTTGGAAAAACACATGAGGATTACAGTAGGAAATTGTCTGAACACATTCTTCCCTCATGGTGCTACAGCCAGGAGGATGGGTGAGTAGGAAATCATATGTAAGAGGAGAGGTGAGAGTTCCTCTTTCTGTATAGCAGTAGTGAAACAGCTATCTGGCTTTTTCCAGTAGTGCTATTCCAAATCTCCAAAATACTGCTAATAATTTGTAAAGGAGCCCAGAAAGAGATGAAATAATATTTTAAGTTTGCAGTACATGACAAGTGGCTTTCTTTAGTTTAGCTCTGTAGTCATGGCAGATCAAGGGTGGCTTAGAGTATACAAATACCCATAGAGGAATGACTAAATTTGGATGGTTACAGCTATAGCAAACAGTAGTAGTCTAGAACTTAGAGACAACTCTCTAACTGAGGGTAACTTGCCAGTGGGCTAACTTTTTGTCATTTGTGAGCTGTAAGCTGTGCTTTAAGCTGCTCTCTACAGAGTACATGATAGCTTAAGAAACAATGAAATATATGCACAAATTAAATTAAGTTCTTTCAGTTGTGTTACTTGGAAGGTGTAGGCAACCTTCTAACTTTAAAACCCTAACACATCTGTTCAATTTTACAGATAGCTGTTGATATGCATGAATTAGAAACATAAGACTTAATGGGTGTAGTTTTAACTTTTTGCCTTCTGGTCTTTTAATCTGAATATTTTAATAGTTTTCCTGGTAGGGTAGAAATTATCAAACCTACCGAGATACTCCTGCGTTGTTAGCCTGTTTCCTTAGGCAACAACATAAGCAGTCATTCCATCTGTCTGTCCATCTGTTCTGCCCTTAATTTTCAATAACTTTTGAACCCATAATTAATTTTCCTTGAGTTCAAGAGAGGATAGGAGTCTTGAGGGTGATCAGATTTCTGCAAGTTCCATAAAAATCAGCATGACAGTAGAGGGGGAAGGCAGAGGGATGCCCTGTTGAAAGCCACAGCTGGAGCTGGGGTGCCGCGTGCTGCCCGGCCGATGCGCCTGGCTGCAGCTGGGGACAGGGTGCCGTGCTGTGTGTGCAGGGAAGTGCAGGGTGTTGCTGGGAGTGAACAGAGCAGGTACTCGTGAAGGAAGGAGTGAAATCCATGGTGTGACAGATTTTTTTGGTTCTTCTATTCACTCAGAAACCCCCATTTTTTCAGCAAAGAAAATGGGAAAGATACTGTTTAAATGAACAAAGTCACCCTTCAGGACTTTATTATTAGTAAGTTGTAGTGAGTTTACTGTTGTCCACATATATATATATTAGAACTTCTGCTTTTTAGCTGCTGCTAGAAAATTTGTCCTAGCTTGAAAATGGCAGATGGGAGGTTTCCTTTGCATGCAGCCTTAGATCTGTTCTGTCCCTCATTGCAGCCTTTATTCCCTCAACAGGTAAAAACATTGTGTGCGCTACTTTTGCCTTGCTTTTTCTTTCTTTCTCCCTGTGGCACATGGGGTCCTGGTTGATTTGTGGAAGTATTTTTTATTACACAGTGACATTAATTCTGAAGCATGAAAGTAAACACTTCATCTGGCTGTGCTCTTTATGAGCAACGAGAACATCCTATTAGGGATTCGCAGAATGTAAATGTCAGAGGCTCATAACTGTCAAATCAACCCAATTTATTTCTGAGCACTCCAAAGCTTTGCTTCTTTCAGTGACAGCTTTTGCCCAAGCCACTGACAACAAAAAGTCATAATGTTTTAATCATGAAGCCTATTTTTTCTCTATACTGTAGTATGGGAAAGCATTTTTGTGTAAAACTTCTGTGAATAATTATTATAATCCTGTGGGGGAAACGCCATCACGTAAAAAAACAACATGAAAAGGAGAATTTTAGTCATATTTGACTGTCTAGGAATGAGCGTATGAAGAATGAGAAGTAAAACTGTTGCATTTTTGTGTCTGCCTGCATGCATTTATTTGGGTTTCCTTTCTTATAAAAACATGCAGGGATGTTCTTTTGCATTCATTGTGGGGATGTTACTTAGCTTATTACTTAAAAGTGGGGTAGGCTTTGCTTAATTCTTAATTTTCATATGTAATCATCACTGCACTTTAAAAAATATAGAGGCTACAAAGGTGCCCCAAGACAGTGCAGTAAAAGTGCCCTGCGGGAGGGTGGTGCTTTGGAGAGATTTGACAGAACATTCCTGAGCTGTGGCATACAAATGGCAGCAAGATGCCCCAGGCAGAGTTGATAGAAACAGGGAAGAGCACAAGACCAGAATGAGCTAATGAAGTGCATCAGCACTTGTGGTTGTCCAGCTGAACGCTGGCATCTGGTGCTGTGGTGAAGTAAGAGTTTCACAGTGTCCAGGCAGTGTCTCCACTCACTGGATACTGCCCTGTATCTGGAGTTCTTGCACTCTAGAGACAGCCTGATGTATGGGCTAACTCCTGGTTTGATAATAATTTAAACTGAAGTCCCGTATAGTGAACTGCAGTATCTCAGGACCAACGTGAAGTAGTTTTTGTTAAATATGATGGAAAAAACCCCAAAAACCTGTGAGCTAAAGAGCTGGGGTGGTGCCCTTGTAAATTACTTTAGGTCAAATACTCACATTTTGTCAGGAGATGACCCTAGTTAGAATGATAGGGAATTTTAACTTGGAGATGGACTTGTGAGGAAGACAGCTGCTTTATGCTGATAATTTTAAGAAATGTGTTTATATGCAAATGCTGATACATGCTATCCAGCCTTCTAGTAGGTGGTTTTTTGGTGACTGTCATCACTATCTTCTCTTTCGATTCTTTGTTAAGGGAAAGCAAACCCACAAGCACGAACTTTTTTGGTACAATGTTTGAAGATTTATTTAGTTATAGAAAGCAATTCCAGCAGCATTTGTTCTGTTGCATTGTTCTTGCCAGCTCTTGAAGAGGAGATATTTAACAGTTGGATATTAAAGTGCATGACTTGAAAACAAGATCAAGTCATATTTGAAGCCAGTCACCTCTGTAAATTAGTCAGTGTTACCTAAAATTGGTTTGACTTAGAATTAAATATATTCTTGCTTTCTGGCTTTCTTTTTTTTTTTCTTTTTCTAGAGCTCTTCATAATTTGCATACAGTAATTATTCTAATCTCAGACAATACTTGCCTACCCTAAAACTTAGTTTACTCTAAAACCAAAAATTAATTTAATTTTTACTCAAGCACTGACGTAGTTTAGGATTTTCAGCAGAAGCATTGTGCTCTGTCCTTTCCCATCTGATTGTGACTGCATAACCCATGTCTAAGCCATGTGCTTTTTTATCTTGTTGCGTCTCTTCCTTTATCAGGGGCTCTTCTTTTCTCTTTGTAGATTAGTGGATACCTCAATCTGCTGGCCAACACCATTGATAACTTCACACATGGCCTGGCAGTAGCAGCCAGCTTCCTGGTTAGCAGAAAGGTAAGATTTCTGTCCCCAGCTGTATACTGAAGTGAAGAGGCCTTGTCTCAAGTATGATACAATATGCAAAACAGCCAAAAAATGCAAGGAGTTTCTTCCTCTTTGCTGGAATTTTCTGAGAAAATGCAGACTACAGTAAAACTCAAGCCCTATCCTGATCCTCTGATGCAGAGCTTCTTTGAATTTGGGACACATTAGTCATTTGTACTGGCATTAGGGGATGGATTAGCTCATCTACTCAAAAGGCAGTCCAGAAATAACATGATGAGGATGGTCACCTCAGAAACTGGGACATAGACAAGGCAGAGATGTTTATTGTATTTTTGCTTTTGTCTTCCACACTGATGATGGGCTATGGGGTCCCCATTGCCCTGAGCTGGAGCACCATGACTGTGAGAATTACAAACTCCCAGTCAACCCTGCACTGATGTGGTATCTGCTGCTCCAGCTTGATCACTGTAGGTGTTTGGGACCTGATGAGATTCATCCAAGAATACTGGAATTGTTTCCTAATTGCTTTCTCTTTGCTGCAGGTTGGGTTCCTAACCACAATGGCCATTCTCCTGCATGAAATCCCACACGAGGTGAGAGGGCTTTGTATCCTGCCATTGTGAGGGGGGTTTCAATGTGCTTCATCTACTAGGAGGAGGTCTGGGTCTGGTTAACATCTTCTTGTCTCCTTAAAGGCTGCTCCCTCTGGGGAAACTGACAACATTGAAAACCAGGAACAGTCTTGAAGCACTGGCCTTGTTGTGAATGACCTTTGTGACTGAGAATTTGGTATTCAAGTTCATTAACTGTCAGCTCTTGGTTTTCTTAGGTTGGAGACTTCGCAATCCTACTTCGGGCTGGCTTTGACCGCTGGAGTGCAGCCAAGATGCAGCTTTCCACAGCTCTGGGGGGAATTCTAGGAGCCTGCTTTGCAATATGTGCTCAGTCACCAAAAGGAGCAGGTAAGGTTCCCTGGGACCTCTGTAGAAATGGGGGAGGAGGCAGTGCTTGTCATCCTTCTGCATCTTCTTTCCCTTCTGTGTTGTGTCCCATGGCTCTGTCTCAGTAATAACTTTCTGTGTTTGTGCAGGAGAAACAGTAGCTTGGATCCTCCCTTTCACTTCTGGAGGATTTCTGTACATTGCCTTGGTAAATGTTGTGCCTGATCTCCTGGAGGAAAAGAATCCTTGGTAAGTGCTCCCTCCTGTTCCTCTGCAGCAATTTGTGCTGCCAGGGAGCAGGAATATAACCCTTCCCTGTGCCTCTTCTGCAAGTGTGTGAATGCCAGCTTTCCAAATCCTATGGACAAGGCTGGAATCAAAATACACCGCTTGCTATCTATTGCATTTGTGGGACTACAAAGACCCTCTGTAACATGAAAGCTTTCGCCTGGGTGAGTCCCAGAGACTGTGCTGGCACAGTATGCAGCAGGGCCAGCTAGAGCAAGTTCCTGGGAAGCATGTCCAGTAAGGACACCACTGCCCAGTCTGTGTTTTCAGCTTCCAGTACATATTGGTGTAGGGACTGTCTGAACCAGGGCCCCACAAAGGTGTGCATGTCTGATAACCACATGTGAACCTATCCTTCCATGCTTCTCTCATCCCTTTCTGACCCTGTCCATTAAGTCACCCCTCTGCAACCTCCTTTTGGCAGCAGTTTGCAGAGTTGGACTCTACTGTGTTTAGTGATGCTTCTTATTATTTGGTTTTTACACTCTTGCATATTGATTTTTTTATTAGGTATCACTGTGTTGCTGTGTGAGTTGAAAAATAATAGTTTTCTTCTCTTTATCACTCAGCATTTCATAGTCTCTGCTGGTATTCCACCTCAGACATCTCTTCTGCACTGGTATATATATGCCAATGTATTTGTGTTTCCCTCATGTATTGTTTTAGTTTCTTAAAGTCTGATTAAGGCTGTAGCAGGTCCAAATCCAGCTGTTGCTCTCAGATCTGCTGCCAGAGGTGCTCCTGAATGTTCCCTCCTATTTCAGTTGTAATAAGACAAGTAACTTCAGTCGTTTAAATAAGATGCCTTGGTTCACCTAGTTAATTTTGACTGAAACAGTGCTCAAAAAAACAGCTCCACAGTTCTTTCTGAGGAGGTAGGAACTCTGTGGAGAAATGTTAATTTGGGTTGGTAACCTCTTGTGTTGGCAGAGGTTGTTGGCAGAATTTGCAGAAGTGGGAGGCACACAGTCACTTCAATCCAACATAAACCTGAGACAGTGCTAAAAGAATGGCCAAATTTGTTGGGTTTTTTTTTTCTGTAACTGTAGTTATTAGCTGGATGAGGTCCCTGAAGTGTCTGTGCACATGCTGCATAAGTGCTGGTTTCCTCGTGAGTGAAAGGACATGAATATGTACCTGAACAACTGCATGACTCAATCAGCTTGCATTGATTTGGAAGCCTGGAGTTGGGCCTTGCAGCTGAGTGGAACAAGTCCATGCCAGTTTATAGACAACTCCTTTGCTTGGGGTGCTGGGAAGGTCTTCTCATCTATGTCAGTGGCTTCATACAGCTGTTGTGTTCACCACATGGTAAATTTGGAAAGGCAAAGAACAAATCATTGGGGAGCTCTGTGCAGCTGCCTGTGGGGATTGGTTTATGGCTCCTCCTAATTTTGCTGTTTCTTTCCCAGGAATTCCCTGCAGCAAATTCTGCTCCTGTGTACGGGCATTACAGTCATGGTGCTACTCGCGCTCACAACTGAGTAACCTCTGCGCAGACCTCATGATGCCTCCCAGAGCCACCACAGTGACTCTGAGCTTTACAAAGCAATAAGGAACACTAATGTTACTTCCCACGTGTGTGCGCGCAGATCTGGCTGCTAGTATGAGAAGCGGGTGACAGAGAGGTCTGGCTGTGCAAGACTTCGTTCCCTGGCTCTCCTATCCCTGTTCTGCTAAGCTCCACACATGAGGGCTTCTGTTCCTTTTCTGTTTGGTTGGTTTTTATGGAGCAAAAGATACACTGGGCAGAAACGAACTGAACAACTGCTCCACTATGAGTGAATGATGTTTCATTTGGTTCATTCTGATGGAACTGCACCTCCCAAGCTCTTGTGTGAAAACAGTAGAAGTGATTCCTGTAGCTGATGAAGATAAAGGATTTTTCCTACCACTTTAAGGGCTGGAGGCAGAACAGGCATGACAAAGCTTTAACCAGAACCCCCTAGCCATGAGAAGTTGATGGTGCTATGAGATAGATGGGAAGAGACCCTTTCCAACTTGATCTCCAGCTGTTCATTGACACCACTTTTTCCTAAAGGTAGTATTGGCCTCAGCAGTCCAGCTCTTTTGGTCTATTTTGTTTACATTGAAATTGAGCCAAAAGCTTGAGGCACTTTAGGGTAGGTCACTACAATTAAATGACTCAGCTTGGAGATTACTTGCCTCAGCCCTAACCACTCCAGTAGCCAGCACAGCCCAGCTGTTTATCTGATACATGATCAGTAAATGTTTCTTCAATTGCCAACTACCATGGAGGGAAAGCCATGTAGCTGTTAAGACTGAGCTCCCTCTCCTCATACCCATTAGCTGAATACGCTTCTGAGCCTGCTCATGAGACCTGATTCATTCATCTGCCCCACACCCTGTTTCAGAGCTTTCTTGAGGTGCAGCATGTTAGACCTGCACAGCATGCTACAGCACCCCTAGACTGTCATGGCAGAGGTGCTTGAACACTACAGCCTGGTCAGCAACTGATAACTCCTGGTTTGCTTTTCATCTGTTCAGTGTAGACTATTTAAGAGCATGCTGTAGATGGCAGCCTATTTCTGGGGTTCTTATCTCATAGTGGAGTTCATTTGTTGAGGATGAATGAATAAGAAATAATGCTGACAGCTTTTAGATGGGAAGGTTGAAACTGCTGCTGAAAATATTTTTAAGTAAGGTGAGAAAGGGATATGAAAGGGTGACAATAAGTATGCTTTAAGAGGAGTTTTCTGTTATGTGATGCTTGGGATAAAATCTTTGGCAATTTGAAAATTTAAAACCAGGTCTAATTGAATTAACAGTCACTGAACACAAAACAGGTGCCACAGTGTGATTTACACCAACTTGGCTCAGTCTTAACAGCTTTTGTGAAACAGTACAGCTCTCCAGTCTGCCCAGGGCCTTACCAAGAGGACTCATGCCTTGAGAGGGCGATTTAGGTCAGAGCAGCAAGGCAGGTATACTGCCCACAGGAGAGGCACTACTTCCCTAAGAGATTCCTGAACTGTTGACACAGTTCTTTTTTATGACAGCTCCTGTCCTACTTTTCAGTGAGTGCTGGAGAGCTCATGCTTGCAGTTCTGTCTGCCCAGGAACTGCTGTCTGAAATTTTTTCAGCTTTCCTTTCCCTGGACTTACATTAGTAACTAGTTTCACTGCAACAAGGAGGGAGGCTTAGTGAAATTATTTATTCCTCTTTACAAAATTACCTTCATGTGCCAGCTCCTCTCTCCATCATTCAGTTGTCATGAGGTCTGAAGGTAGCATCCATTTCCTGCTTTCCTGGAAGGATGATTAATCTAGTTAGCCTGCAGGGACTGGGGGAGTATGCCAACCCTCTGGTTCTACCTTTGGGGGTTCCTTCTGCCCAGGGACTGCAGCTAAGCAGACCCTGTAAAAGAGCTCTGGAGGAAGCAAGCTTGCACAGAAAGTTGTGCCTGCTGTTTCTCAAGATGTCTTTCCCAAAATAAGGCTGGCATTTAAGTTGAGGCATTGCCAGGTGAGTGCCCATGAGTTGGCGTTGTTGCATCAGCACTGAGCCTTGCCAAGACTCAAAACCATAGTCAGGATTTTATACTCAGCGTTCAGGAATGTGAAGTGGATGACACTGAACAAAGAATTTCTGAGCTGTTTTTCTTGGCTGCTGTCATAGGCATGGATAGTCTGTGGTTCTTGGGAAGATACCCTGGTAGGAGGGAGCATGGGGCTTGTGGGAGGGAGGGTTTCAATAGATTTCTACTGCGTCAGCCCTGGGGCTGAGGATTGAGAGCCTTGGGAGGAAATGGAGCATCACTCCACCACATTTGTCACTTTTGGAAATGCAGAGAGAATTGTATTTTCTAGCTCTATTTTTTCAGCTGCTCTTATGCATTTTCTCCCTTCATCTGTATTGGTCTGCTCTGCATGGAGACAATAGAGATGAAATAAATAGTTTTCCATGTTGGTTTGTGTTGTTGGATTATTTTATTTGGTTGGTCTAGGCTATTTTTGAAGTTCCTACTTTCCTTTGATTTAAAAATTCAATTTAAATTTCATTTGAATTACACAGACATATCTCTGGGTTAGTCTAGAGCAGTGTGGACTCTGGGTTGCTGTCAGACTTTCCCCAGACTTACACAGCTGAAAGAAAAATTTCTATTCCAGTTTCTTCTCTCTGCTGCCATGGAGCTGTTGTCCAGGAGCAGTGTGGTAGAATCATAATTCTTGAGTGCTTCTCAGGGTTCCCTGAAAAGCATCACCAAATTAGTTTCCCCTCTTTCAGGGAAAGCTTGCATGGTTACTTTACTGTTCAGAGAGTTTTGTAATCATACTTGACTATAATCAGTTATTTTTTAAAATCAAAAACCCTCAAGGCCTGTGGTTTCAGTTAACACTAAGCTGGATACCTGCCATGTCGGACAAAGGTGCCATCATGAAAGGTTGTGTGTTCCAATTGCCCTGAAAGGACTAAGAGGAAATTCCCTACCCTTCAAAAACAGGGGTTCAGAAAATGTCTTATCCCACCCTTCATTTGGAAGATTTTCAGCTATTAATGGTGCATTTGTATCTTTTCTCACCCAAAGTCTTCTGTAAAAAGAAGGAAAACCATAACCCAAGAGCTGGAAGAAGATGGAAGTAGGTAGGTGATCAAGGGCATGATGTCACAGTCTGGATTTTGCCCGTAATCTACATTTTGGAATCTCTGTCCCTGGATTTACCAAACTGCACTCTTGGGCAGTGCTGGTACTCCTGCCCTATGAGCCTTTCTCCATCATTCCTTTTTCCTTCTCAAAAGTAATCAAAATTATCATGAATTAATCAGCTATCTGTTTCACAGGCTCTGGGAAGAATGGCTCTGACACAATTGCAGTAGTACAGAAAGGAGAACATTTTGAGTTTAATTCATGGGAACTTTCTAAGATGATGGTGTTGCTGAAGCCCCAGTCTTTTGAAACTGTATCTGAGGAGCTCATATGGAGAGTAAGGTGACATAATAGGATTGCAGACTTAGGAAATGTGACTATTTGGATCTTTCTGGGAAAGAGCTATTACAATTGAAGGATTTTTCCATGTTAGCTAGAGCAGTGATTGTATTTGAAAATTACTTTTCATTCTTGCTGTGGAAGACTTAATTTAGCTGGTATGTGTAAGAAAATTCTTTTGACAGCAGCCCTTTCAATTTGTCTGCCTTGAAGGCACCAGTGTGCAGCTGCATGGATGGTAATCCCATCTGTCCAGTGCAAACTGCGGAAGAGGATCATGCAGAAATGTGGTTGGAGCAAGCTTTAGCTGTGGCTGCTGCATGTTTCCAGCAGGCAGACTGCTCAGGTGAGATAAGCAGTACTCTGTTCTGGCCAGTGTTGCTGGGAGGAGTGCTGGGGAGCGTATTTAGGTTGTGCTCAGTGTGGCCGAGAGACCAAGAAGTGGCAAGGGAGAGGTGGGGGCGAAAGAAAGGATCAGAGTCTTCTACAGTTGAGCATTTGCTCCTGGGAACCAATTAACTACTTCTAACAAAAAAACCCCAAAGCTAAGGATTTCAAAATTGGACATTAAATTAGTAGTTTAGGCATAGCAAATCACTAGATCATTTTATCTGGAGGCCAGAATGGATGAGATGATGCCCAAACAACTGGCTTTGGGGACTGACTGGTAGTGCTGAGCTGGAGGAACAAGCCCTATACAACAAGCAGGATCAGAAGGGATTTTGTGCCCCTATAAATGCTGCATTTAACTAATGGCTTGGATTTAATCTGCTTCTCATTGCATGAAATAGATGGACATTTTTCAGGCCTTATTTTCCATTAACTGATAATGAAGGATGGAGGGGAAGTCATAATCCAAAAGCCAACAAATTATGTTTCAGGTGGTGTTTGCATTTCGTGTACATTTGAAAAACTGCTGGCTCCCGCGGCCTGAGCAGGGCTGCTCTCTGCCCTTCTGCCCTGGGCAAGCCAGCGGGACGGGCGCCTGCCAGGCCAGAAGAAGCCGCGGAAAGGCTCGGAGCGTCCGTTCACTTCTTCCTCCGGTCATCCGTCCCCCGGCAGCTGCCCGTGGCCACCCCCGCTCCGCCCTGGACACGGGCTCCGCCAAGAGAGGGGCCCTCGGAGCAGGAGCCGGGCGCCGCGGCGGGGGCGGTTCCGGGACCCCCGTGGGGCCGCGCCCGGGGGATGCCGCGGTACGGGACCGAGCCCGGCGCGGCGCCGCCTTCCGGGGGCGGTGCCGCGGGCGGCGGCCCCAGCCGGGCTGCAGGGAAGCGCCCGCCCCTGCCGCCCCCGGCGCGGTAAGATGGCGGCCGCGGCTCAGGCGCTGAGCGGCACCGGGCTGCTCCTGGCCGCCGCCGCCCTCGCCCTCCTGGCCGTGGCCATCGGCACCGACTCCTGGTACGAGACGGACGCGCGGCGGCACCGCGAGCGCTGCCGCGGCTTCGGCCACAAGCGCAGCGACCCGCCCGGCTCCATGTCGGCGCCCAGCTCGCACCTGCCGCTCCGCGCCCGACCCCCGCGGGCGCTCCTGCCCGCCGCGGCGAGACCGGGCCGGCGGGCGGGCGCGGACGGAGCCCGGCGGAGCCGTGGCTCCCGGTGTCCCTGGCGTGCTGCGGGAAGCGGCGAGCGCGGCCCTGACCCCATCCCGGGGTCCTGTGCGCCTCCCTCTCCGCTAGAAATGCTGCAGTGCTGGGTGGGACCACGTCCTCAGAGAGCCCCCTCGGGGGCCCAGTGCAGGGCCTGGCTCTCGGTGGGCGTCCGCCTAACCCCGACACTTTCTTCTAATTGAGTGCTGAGAAACATGCAGTGTTGTTGATAGCGCTGTGATTTTTGCGGCAAGGTGAAAGGGACCTGTTGTTCCCATTCTAGCATGAGGGAGTTCTCATTGCTGCAGTGGATTGCCAGGCTTTCATGGTGGCAGTTGTCACTCAGGGCCCCCAGGGTGAAAGGGGAGAAAGCTATGGATCTTCTACTTCTGTGGCACATGGTACAAAGCCAAGCAGGCCATGAAGTATAAATAAAAGTCCTGCACTTGATGGTACAAATAACGTATTGGGCTGACCCATGAAGTCAATGGGTTATGTATGGTTAATGATAAATAACAGGACTTAGTGTTCCAGCAGGTACATATTAGCACAGAGAGAGTAGGAGTTGGGAAAAGTGCTTCCATTGAGGCACAAAATGGAAATGCTATCTTAAGAAAGCGAGAGCAGTTCTTCAGCTTGGCTTCCAACTGTGACGCCAGTCCTGCACAGCAGAGGCTGGATAGACTGGCACTGTGAATCTCAGCTCGTCTTTGTCCCTTCTTTCCAATGCACAGCAGTGACTCTTACTTCTCGAAACTCTAGTGCTGTGTGCTTAGCTTCTTTCTCTATTTATTCTCCTAGGATCCATTTTATGTCATTTCATTTTTATTTCCGTGCTGAGCTCCTTTCACTAAAAGGGAACTCATTAATTTCTTTCTATTAATTGTGGCTCTCATGTAAAATATTTATCTATTTTTTTGCTTCACATCAAGCAAAATGCTTTCAGCTCCTGCTGAGATTAGCTAAGATGGGGGAACAGGTGGGAAGAATACTGGTTTGCTCCTCAATTCTTCTCTTTCTGAGGTATTTTCCCAACACCACAGCAAGTCGGACAGGGAAGCTAGAGTCTGCATTCTACATGAGGCCATTACAGGGTGGTGAATGGTCTTTCTCAGTTTTGATGAATAAAACTGGAAGGACTCTAAATCCAAAATGTTTTCTGTTTACTTTGTTTCCTTTTCCCCCCCAGCTGTTCTAATAAAAGACCTTGCCTTTCCCTACAAAAAGCGTTGCCCCCCTTATATTCTTTGCCTATTAGGACAGCAGTTGCTACTGTAAAGATTTATGTGTCATCTTATAGAGGGAAATTATTAATAATAGTTCTTGTAGAATCAGATCTTTAAATAGGTATGACTCTCTTATCCCGTCTCCTGACCTGCTTTACTAGCAGCCTTTCCTCATTCCCACTGTGTCTGTCTTTTCTCTGACAGCTGTGATTAAGCAGCCTTTTCCGACTGGTGGTCAGGTGTGGCTGCATCTGAGCTGTTCTCTGAAGCATGATACCAGATCTGGTGCTTCTGAAAAAGAAAAGCAGGTATTTTTTCCCCTTGTGTGACCTGAAGATTGCTCCTGTGCACTGCTAAAGTCCTATTCCTCCTCAATTTTCATTAAGTTTTCAACTAGCTCTTTGGTGATGTGTGATGCCTTTCTTTATTCCTGGTATTTCTCAATCTAGATATTTTTATGGTCTTTTAGTGAAAGAGGAGTAAATTTGATTTTTTTTCTCACAGTTCTGTGGTAATTTTGGTTTGGGTTTATAGTCTCCATTTTTTTCTAGTCTCTCTGGAATAAGATTTCTTTCCTTTCTGCATCTCTCCTGAATTCTGAATAAATTACTTAAGTCCATAAATACACTTATCCATATAGATAATTCCATGGATTTCTAGTCCTGTATTTATCTACTGCTATTAATACAAAGCAGTTTCATGGAAACTTGCTTACTTGAGCATTGTAACTAATGATGCATATACATTTATATATCTGGGATATTAAAAAAAGCAAAATATATTCACTTCATATATTTAAAAGGAAAAAACTAGTCAGAAAATGTAGTGCAAAACTGAGAGGTGGGAAATGTTTAAATGTAAGATGGGAATGATATGTGAGATTTTTCTTAAAATGCAAAATGACTATTTTGGAACTGTGAAAAAATACACAGTTTCATTTTAAAAATACAATTAAAAGGCAAAAGAAGGAATGATGTAAAAACCACATGGGGAAAATGGAGATCAGCAGTAAGTAAGAGATAGAAGGCAAAGAACTGAACCATTTGGTGAGGAAACTGAGAGGATCTCTGTGCACATATGGGAGGTTCTCTGAGTGTAAGAACATGAGAACTACACGTCATCGTGTAGAGCCTGTGCTGTGTGGATTCCACATTCAGTAACTGATGCTACAACAAAAACCATCTGCATGGACTTAAGCAGTAAAGTCCTGCAGGGATTCACTATATCTTTTTTAGGGGTCTTTTCTACCTATTAGTAGAGTAAAAAAGTGTTGCTTACAAAATGGTGACAGTAGAAGATGATGAATTGGGAAAGATCCATTCTAACAGGCTGCTTTGGATGACTTGGTGGGCTCATTGAACGGCTTTAACATCCCTAAACTGAAGGAATTAAAAAATAAAAAGTTCATCACTGTTGATAAACCAGGGATTTTTATTGCTTCTCAGACTTGCTCTGAAAAGTCTCTGAGGTAGGACTGGTACATCTCATATATACTGAAAAGACTTCTTGGTACCACAGTGTAGCTGAGAAAGTGAGGAGAACCACTGGATGCTTAAGCAGAGGAACACAACAGTTTGGGGCCATGGTGAGGCCCTTGAGAGAAAACTGCTCAGTCCTGGTGTCTGTACTTCCCATTCTTTCTGACTGATGGAAGGTGGAAAGAGTTACAGGATTGCCTGTGAGGGCTGCAGAGGATCTATTAAAGTGGCAAGTTTAATAAATTTGTTCTGTTTGGTCATGGCCCTTGGTATGTATGTTCTGTCAGTGGGATCTTTAAGAGTTCTTGTGGTATTTTAAAGGAAGGTTGATTCATTTGATCTGGTGGCCCTTGGGTAATGATGTGGACAGAGTGAATGCATGGTGCTCCTTACAATCCTGGGCAGAAACGGTAGGAAAATGCCAGGAAGCTTCAATGGCTGGTTGGTTCTGGAGCATGAAGGAGGGGAGGGCCAGGCCTCACGTGGTATTTAGTTGTTAACTGGCTGTGGCTGCTCATGGGCAGTAGGGGGTCTCTCCCAGTGTGTGAGAGTCCAATGCTCTGATACTGGGCCACGTAGCAGAATTGAAAATGAATCCCTCCATTTCTTCATAAACATCTGGCATGTTGTGTAAAGAAAACCCGCATGTCTCAAAGTTGGAAACAAAAACTAAACTGAAAATCAGGGTGTGCTAATTCAGGATTACAGACTGAATGTATCACAGCAGGGTTGGTGTTTCCATGTTTCTGGCAGTTTAGGAACAAGGGGCCTGTGCTCTGCCTGGGTATCTGGCTAGTCTGGAATGCATCCTCTGACCTTTCCCATCCTTCATCTTCAGTCAGGAGAAAGGACTCGTCCAGAGACACTCACATGTGCTCTTCCAAGGGCTGTGTGAGTTCCAAGGGGAACCTGTCTGCAGTTGCAATGCTGAGGGGTAAAAAAACCATGTTGAGGACAAGGTGTTAGAAGCAATGTTGGCTGTGAGAAGGCATGGGAATGTAGCTGGGCCATGAAAGTGTCAGAGTGACACTGCTGGATGCCGTTCATGTTTATTTTTTAATCAAGAAAATTGTACATGCAGTGTGACTCTCACAGAGTTCTGTTAAAGCCCTTAGAAATGCTGGCATCAGGCTGTCCATCTGACCTTTTTCTTGGATGTGTGCTTTATGGTTCACTAATGATCTGGAGGAGAAGGAGGCACCTGCCTCCTTCTGTCCCGTATCCCCAATGTACTGGTGTGCCAAAACAGACAACACACACTTGTTGTTCACCACATGACTCTGTTCTATTCAAGCCCTTGCCTGAAGGCAAAAGTTTTATTTTTGGCAGGCTTTCTTATGGTACTTGTCTGAGTGTGTTGTAAACAAAAAGGAAGTCACTTTGCTAGCAGGTTTCTGAAATGAAGGGCAGGATGCTGTCCTTGTTTTATAGACTGTGATTTCAGGTATGTAAGGCTCAGGTCCAAGGACTTACTGGAGTACCTTTGAAACAACTTTACTTAACAATAACTTTGGGACTGCAAACCTGGTTTTGATTTTTACTTTTTTTCTTGTGTACTTAGGGAACAAGGTGTTATATGACTTTAAATGCAGTCCTGTGGAGTACCTGGCCATATTTGAGTGCATGGCATCTCTGCAAGTGAGACCTAGAAATTCACTCAAAAAATGGGGAACACAGACTAGTGATGGCAAATGCAAAATTGAGGTTCTGAAGGTTGCCTGGGTGCGTGTTAAAGTTTCCTGGGAGAAAGTAGCTTAGGTATTCAGCTGAGATCACACTCACTGCTTCTCCAGGTCCCTGACTCTCTTGCCTGCCTATATGAACTTTTCTAGAAGATCTGCAGAGAGAGGCCTCCCTTCTTTTGCCTATAGTGGCTCACAGTAGAGTGGGTCCAGCCTGTGCTCTCAGAAAAATGGACTCTTATTGGAAAAACAGCTTGTCCTGGTGTAATCAAAGGCTGTTACCAAGCCTATGGATTAGAGGTCAGCACTGAGCAAAAGCCCTGAAATCTGTGCACTCCTGAGCATTTTTTTTTTCTTGCAAATTTGCTGTTTTAATATAATAGTTATGTGCTAACTATATAAAATTAGCACTTCGAATTCTGGGGAAGAAAGGATTAGGAGTACAGTTTTTAAACCAGAGGCAGAATGAATTTATATCCAAAAATTTCTAAATAACCAGTTTTGTATGGGAAGGTGGAGAGGTTTTAGTTTACATGTTAAACTCTTGGAATTATAAAGAGCAAATATTTTTCTTAGTGACGTCTTAGCTGAGAAGTCTATAGCTTTGATCATAAGGGATGTACATTTCTAGTCTTTGCTTTTTCTGTAATGAGCTATAAAAATAGTAATCCTTGCTCTTATTTAAAATGCTGCTTCATATGTATTACTTGTATGATCAGGAAATATAAGTGCATAAATAATACTTTTAATGAATGCAGTGCATTGTAATCTGAAATCTGATGTCATTAGTTTGTTCTATATACATATTTCTCAACAACACCTGCAAGTCGTGTCCATATTGAAATTGAGTTCAGTCAGCAGTCACAGGTGAAATTTGATTAGATACTGTGGTGTGTTGTATATGGCCTAAGTTCTTAACTCAGATGTCTGCAGCTTTTGCAAATGAACTGGCACCCTCTGACACTGGGTTGTCTTGCTGATCATTGGCTCAGTGGCTGCACATTGTCCCGAGGTAAGTGCAAGGAGGGAGCCCTGCTCAGCAGGAGGGCCACTGGCTGCAGGTGAAGGGCAGCCCCTCTGTGTATTGTGTGCAGCTGGAAGTGCTCTGTGCTGCTGGGGAAGCAGCAGGGAGCCGCAGCAAGGGAAGGGGTGGTGGGAAGCACAGCTGAGAATTGGAGCTCGCTTGAAAAGGGAGGAAAGTCAGATCACCTTTCCCTCCCTTGCCTGATGGCTGGAATTGCCTGGGCCTCTCATAGGCAGCTTCTGATCTTGTGAAATGGGGGCTTCCTCTTTGCAGGTCCTTGCAGAAACCAGGTCAGTACAGTCCCAGCGAACATTGTTAGAGAACAAAATCAAGCTTCTCATTGCTGTGGGAGCCACAGAAAGCTCAATTCTTCTGCGTTTTCTAGTGTCTTTTGCAAAGCTGATCACTGAATCTGCATCTCCCTGCTAGTGATTGTTCACCAGCTTAATTAGGTCACTGGCCAGTTGATTGTTTTTGAATGGTTCTTCTGCTCCAACATTCAAGTAGTAGTAATGGCCCTGTAGCCACTGTTTAAGAGGAACTTTTTCTGCTATTTAACTCTTTTATCTTTCTGGTTGCTCTCTTCTACTTCACCATTCTCCCCCAATTTCTAAATTAAAAATCCCTTTCTGGAAAAGCATGCTTCTAAGTTCACATTTACATCTGGGGTACACTTTTCTTTAAGCTATAATGGAAACATAGTATTCTACCTGGATACTACTGCTCATTGAAAGTAAAGCAAAGAGCCAATGACTATTGGAGTGTATTCAAAAGATTCTCCTATGCAGTTCACTTTCCAGCATTCATTCAAAATTTTCAAAGTGTTACGATTCTGTCTTCTTAGAGATGAAGCGGTCCTGTTGGTGCTTGGCCACATTCTTGTCTCCTTAGACATCCCAAAAAAGATCATAGCAGTTCCTCTAGACAGCTTTTAGACATGTTTTTCCTGACTGTCTTTAAGCTTTAATAGCCGTTTAACTTCAGCTATTGCTTCTTGGAGAGACACCTGGCTCCTGCTTTGCTGGTATTTCTTAGTAGGTTCTCTCCCCTCCCAATCCCAAAGCCTTTGAATTAAACAGCTCTTTTTTGGCTACATTTACCCTGTTACTGAAGGCTTCCCTTGTGCGAGCTCTGCTGGGCTAGCCAGCCCAGCAGCAAGTGCAAGGCCAGGGGGATTTCATGCTGTTTCATACTGATGTGTCTTTACAGGAGTCATCCAGCGCTGCACTGCTGTGAAGTACCACTACACCTCCAGCTCTCTGCCTCGCAACTTGCCCATCAACATCACCAACACCATCCGGCAGGATGAGTGGCACGCGCTCCGTAAGTAGCCCGGAGCAGGGCTCAGGAATGTTTGCATCGCTAAATGCCTTAATGCAATGCCAGCTGAGGGCTCGGGATCACCTCATCTAAGCGTGGCACTGGGCTCTAAGCATAGATACAGATTGATTAGTGAGGAAGTGCAAGCAGCCAGCTGTATGGTTGGGGGGCGGGGCATGGGATTTGGAGAGGCTTAAAGCTGGGAATTCAGGAATACAGATGTGTGTAGTGAATTGCAAGGTGTCATTGTATTCTGGATCTGGGCACAGACAGTTCCTAGCTGGCTTACAGCAAAGGTGCTGCATCACTGTATAGATCCTGTTGCAATTTTCTGTGTGCACACCAGTGACCTGATGCAACCCCCTGGTGACCAGTTCTTTTAGGGAACATCTCAGTTTGTCTTTGCACCAGCACCTGGCCCACAAGCTGCCTGATGCTCAAGTCCTTCCCACACAGATAACTGACCTGTAGCCTGTGACTGAGAATTATTTAATCAGTTTTGGTTTTTTTTTTGCTCCTGCTTCTCTCTGTTTTTTTGTTCTATTGCTCACATAATTCAACATTGCCCCTGTCAAGTGGGAGTCAGTGCCAAGGAAATCCTAGTTCAGCTGGAGACTGAACTAGGACAGCAATTTTACTATGGATAGCAAAGTGCTGTTCATGACACTCGTACCCCAAGCTTTTTTTTTTTTAGAGCTTATTACTGGAGTTGTTCCCATAATACTGTATTGATCTGCTGTCTGCTTCTGTCTTCCCACTATTCCTCTTTTCAGTTCACACTGTGTGCTTCCCTTGCACTAGTCATTTTGTCCTCTCTAGTGTCCCTTCTTGCTTCTTTTGTTTCTATTTTCAGCAGAAATTTTTCTCCCCCGACAAACTCTGTCCCAAAGAAAGATGCCACAGAAAAAAAAAAAAAGAAAAAGCCCTTGCAGTACTAACATGATTTTGTGATGCACTCCTTCTGTACCATGCTGGTACTTTGGATCAGGACAGAAACGCTCTCCAGTTGCACAGTGTCCAGCACAATGGAACCATTTTAGATGGATTCCTTTAGTTTCAGTATAATGGGCAAACTATCTACCTCAAAGAAGCTATGGGAGGAGAAGTCCATGCTTGAAGTATAAACTTAGAACCAGTAAATCCACATCTGGCCTCTGCACTGGCTGTTTTCTCTAGGTACTGCCATCTTTATGTCTTTTGTCTTGCTTTTCTCCTTTTCCTCCAGATCTGCGGAGGATGACGGCTGGCTTCATTGGCATGGCAGTCTCCATCATCCTGTTTGGGTGGATCATTGGTGTGCTGGGCTGCTGCAAACAGCAGGAGCTCATGCAGTACGTGGCTGGGCTGCTCTTCCTAATGGGAGGTGAGAGCCTTTTGCTTCTGCTCCTCAAGTCACCACATTCAGTATTGCTGCCTTGTAAAAATAAAAGTAAAGTCAGGACACAACAACTACATGAAGCAGTAACTTAGTGCAGCAAACTGTCAGCACAGTGCAGTTGCTGCTTCCAGCACTGGGCAGGATCTGCGCTTGTGTGGGTACTGCATGTTTCTCAGTAGACCCTGATGTGTGTGTATGAGCCTTCTGCTCTGGAGAGCTGGTGTGTAGCCACGGGGACCATGTGCACAATGAGCACAGTCCTCTGGCTTGCTCCAAGCGTGCAGCCTGTGGCTCCTGTCAGACAGCTCAGCCCAGCTTTTCCTAGGAATCATGACAAACAGAGGTTAATGTAGAGCATCTTTCTGGTACTCAGAGATGCTTAGATCTTCATGTAATGAAGAAGTCCAAACCAGCCAAGTCTGGGAGGACATCGGCCCAGTGATAAGGATGTGAGCTCAGTGCTTGCCAGGGGTGTTACATCTGTTTGTCCTGGGTGGGAGGAGACTTTCTGAATGGTCAAAGGTTTTTCTGAACTTTGATTTTTCAACCTGAAAATGGGCAGTATAGATCTGGAGTCTAGTATACTAGTGTATATTAAACATACTTCTTAGGCTTTTTTCTCCTCTGTATAGGTGTTCAGTGAATGTGTAGCAGATGACAAAAATCTGGGCACGCTTTGTGGGCCTAGAGTACAGCTGGCAGAAGTGTGGGTGCTCCTAGTAGAAACCAAAAAGTGCTGCACTTTGCAGCCCTGGGATTTGGTGAGCTAATTACCTTTCATAGCAGAAACTGGCCAAGTACTGTCTGGAACCTGACGACATTAGACACTGGAAATAGTCTCAGGAGAATCAAAGCATGGTGAACTATGACTGAGTTCAAAATTGCAATGAAAGGTGCTAAGGTAGTACTGTTTTTTTTGTGAAGAAAGGTATCCTGTAGTCCTACATATTTTCCTTTTTTTTTTCTCTGCCTTATAAGGAGAGTGGCTGGTAAGACTGCAGAAAAAACCCTAAGGGTAATTCTTGATTTTGAAAATTCTTGACTTTGAAAATACTGAGGGAAAAAAACAGAGCATAATTAACCTGTCTGAGGGCAGTGTAGAAGCCTCTTGCTTTTCTCCTGCAGGTACTTGCTGTATCATCTCACTCTGCACTTGCGTAGCTGGGATCAATTTTGAGTTATCCCGCTATCCTCGCTACGTCTATGGGCTGCCAGAGGACATCAGTCATGGCTATGGCTGGTCCATGTTCTGTGCCTGGGGGGGCTTGGGCCTCACCCTGCTGGCTGGGTTCCTCTGCACTTTGGCCCCATCACTCAACACCTCCCGGGCATCCGTACAAAAACCCAGACAAGAGAACGGGGCCGTGTGACCCCAGAGAGAGCGAGGAGAGACTCTGGAAAGCGCAGCCTGGGCAGAGCTGTGGGTTAACACCAGGAAGAGGTGGCATGTCGGCGTGTGGAGAGCAGTGCCAGAGCTGTCGAAATGCCAGCCCATGGGACGCTGCTACAGCCTCCAGTCGCAGACACGGACATTGCGAGTAACTCCAGGTTTGAATTATTGGCAACTTGATCATTGATGGTTTAAGGGGGACAGTTCTTTCAATTTGTTTTTCTTCTGTTTACAAGGGATTAAGTCCAAGATTGTGTCTTTTTTTTGTGCTGTTTTTTTGAACTGTACCTCCATGGTCCTGTTATTGTCCAGTTGTAAGGGATGTTTACGCACCAACTCTATTGCTGCAGGTCTGTGTAGTTCAGACCCAATTTAGGGCAAGGAGCTAAGTGAAGTTGGCTTGAACACTTTTGCAACAGGCATGTCTAGTGTTGGCTCAGGCCATCCTTTCCCAAAAGAACCTTGATCTAAGCCGAGGTTGAGGCCAAAGAATTAGCCCATTCTTAGTATTAATTTATTTAAATCAGAAACCTGTGCTATTCCATGCTGTGGATTCAGCTATTTACTCACTACTCAAACCATTTCCAAAAGGAGCTAGCTGTAACTGAGCAGCAAGTCTCCAAGAAAACTCTTATGGACTGGGAAAACAGAGGGAAGTTTTTCTCAGCTTCTTACACAGTGAAAATTACTCATCTGGCTAAGTAACATGCCCTTGTTTTAATGGGGAGTTGTACGCAACATGCAGCTTTTAACTATTCCACCAGAGGTACATTTTTCAACATGTGTCATAGTTTGAGCTGCCAGCACCAACTTTCACTTCTGAACTAACTTCTGGGTGCAACTCCTATTCTGTGAAAGGAGATGAGTAATTCTCCCTGAGCTCAAATAACAGTACTGCTAAAACAGCAGATGTACAGCCCCCTCTAATATTAAAGTCCAAAGGAACCACAGTGTATTTTCCTCAGGAACATGTGGCTTCTGCCCCTTCCAATGTCAAATGCCCTGAGCGCAGCGTGTCAAGAGCATGCGTGTTCTGCTGGAACAAGATCCCTCTCCAAAATGAGCACTAAGGACCTTGGTACCAGCACAAGTACTAGGGCTAACTCAGGAACATCAGCCAAAGTACTTTGGAGTGCATTTTTCTTTCATCCATCTAGTCTTTTTTTCCTTCTCATATCCCCGCCCCTCTCCCAAGTGTCCAAAAACTGCACAGGTAAAGATGAGATGGCCAGCATTTGGAGATGTTTACATTGTATTTAAAATACAATACAGTGGCATGTAAGATACTTAATGCTAAAGTCAGTGTATTTATGAAAAGTGTAATTTTTAAATGGAAGTTGTAATTCTCAACTGGCATTAAAAGTACTGAAAGACTTGCTCAGTGAATGAAACCTTGGAATTCTTTTATGACTAATGATCTGACTGGTTCCCCAGAGCTCACATACACATACCAGCAACAGTGTTAAAGCTTCCAAGAGTTAAGTTCAAGTGACAAAGTTAAAACATCATTCGTGTGTGAATTGTGTTCACCCTTGCAAAGTGAGTGTTCCAAAGTTTCAAACTCTAACCAGGCTGTAGGCTGTTCACTGGCTGCGCAGGCAAGAACCAGGGATGCTGTCTGAGCTGCAGGTCATCAATGTCACAGTGCCCTTACTGCAGTATAGCCTCTTGGTCCTCATGAGGAAGTATCAGAGCAGGGTTTACTCCAGTGCTAGTTGGAGGAGGGTCCAAAGGCAGCATGGTGAGCACAGTGCACAGGAGGCTTTTAGCCTCCCTTTTCATGGATGTAGACACACCGAGCAAGGGCGACAGCCCCAACACATCATGGATTTGTTTTTAAAGGGAAAAAATGCTTTATTTTCTCCAGACAGAAAGTGAGTGATATAGTCCAGTCTATTCCTGTCCTCTGCCAAGGCCACAACCTTGACTGGGCAAGGATCAGGCATAGTACTGCAGGTTGGCTTTTTTCTTTGCTTGAACCTCCAGGATTCCCTCCATGTAGTCCTCGTGGGTGAGCTCTGTAGCTCCACGGCGGAGGGCAATCATCCCCTGCCCAATGAGACAGTATTTAGAGAGGGAATGTGAGCACCACACCAGTTCCAAATAACTGCTCCATTCTAGCTTTCACATTTCCCTCCCACCAGTGCTATTCCTATGGAGGAATACTTACCGCTTCGACACACACGGCCTTGCACTGGGCTCCATTGAAATCATCTGTGCAGCGAGCCAGTTCCTCATAGTTCACGTCAGGGCTGATATAAGCAAATGGGGAAAAACGTCTGAGAACATGTACCAAATAGGAAAAGCAACACAGGGAGTTTCCTCAGCCCCACAGTGAGCTCCCAACAAGTGACTGCCAATCACTTCTCAGCACTGAGGTACCATCGTGAGTGACAAAAAGAACCCCAAGAGACCACACCTGACATTCATTTTGCGTGAATGAATCTGCATAATTCTGGCTCTGGCCTCTTCATTAGGCATTGGGAACTCGATCTTCCGATCTAATCGTCCAGAGCGGAGCAAAGCTGGGTCCAAGATATCAACCCGGTTGGTTGCAGCAATCACCTAAGCAAAAGTAGGATCATCAATGTGAGGCACCTAGAAGACAGGCTTCTTCTCCCCAAAGATTCACCAAGCTTCTTCCCTGGACACTGTTTTCCATCCCCTGCTAGACCACCCTGGACCTCAGCAGCACTCCCTGCTAGCTCCCAACCTTGACTTGTGTGTTGGGCTGGAAACCATCAAGTTGATTAAGTAGCTCCAGCATGGTCCTCTGCACCTCCCGATCACCGGCCTTCTCACTATCAAACCTGAGGGGAAACAAGGACAAAACTGTCAGTATGAACCTGACCACCCTGTCCCTATGTTTTTAATCACATCAAAACACTGAATGACTGTAGTTCATGCTCTTTGGCTGAGGTGTTCCAAATTTTTCCTTGAAACTACAGTCCTACCACGATGAGGACTGCAACTAGAATAACTGTCAGAGCACCTAAGACTTTTAGTCCTTAGAGCTGAATGGGGCTTATGTTGTCCAGGCCCATGTAGTAAATGAGGGTGAACATCTCCAGGTGCCTGCTGCAGAGAGAAAACAGTTATATAAAGCAGGAGGCTATCAGACAGATCCCAAGATCTGACAAACTTTGCTCCTGAGCCCAAGGATTGTAGCAACTGCTATCTATCTGTGACTGTGTTCACACTCTCTGAGCAAGCCATGCTTTAAAAGGCTCTTACATACACGGGCAAAGGAGGCTGCTAGGCAGCTCTCAAGAACTTTACAACATGGACTAGAGCTCACCTTTTAGTGCCAATGGCATCCAGTTCGTCAATAAAGATGATGGAAGGAGCTTTTTCCTTCGCAAGAGCAAAAGCATCACGTACCAGCTTCGCTCCATCGCCAATGAACATCTGCACAAGTTGTGGACCTGCCAGCTTCAGGAACGTGGCCTGGGAAGGGAAAGACAATCAATCCTAGGCCTCATTTCACGATAGGGTCACTTCTGAGTACTATAAGAAGTCCTTAATTAAAACAAGCAAGCAAGCAAATAGGAAAATCCCAGCCTTTGTAACACCAATTTGTGTGTATGACCTTCTTCACCTGGAGGTGTTCTTACTCTTTGTCAGGTACTATTCTACAGCTGCACACACTTTCACAGGTTCCTTTTACCTTGGTCTGGGCAGCACATGCTCGAGCTAGAAGTGTCTTCCCTGTTCCTGGAGGTCCATACATCAGGACTCCTTTGGGTGGCTGGATACCCAAATTTTCAAATTTCTCCTTATGATTCATCGGCAGGACAATTGCCTCCACAAGCTACAACAAAAGAAAAATATTAATATATAAACCCATTTTTCTCCACAGATCCAGGCTGTCTGCTTTAGAGTTGAAGTTCAAAGACTGTTGTCCACAGTCACACCAGAATCTATACATAAAGTATCACCTCTTGGATTTGTTTATCCAGCCCCCCGATGTCACTGTACTGCTCGGTGGGCCTCTCATCCACCTCCATGGCCTTCACCCGTGAATCATACTCCGTAGGCAGAGTCTCCAGGATCAAGTAAGAGTCTTTGTTCACCCCCTGTAAACACAAGTCCTTTGCTTTTAACAGGTTCCTTCAGATAGCACTTAATAAACACGCCATCAAAGCTGATTTATAGACCTCAAGGATGCAAGAAAAACCAGCTTTGACACTGGCATTCATCAAATCACCCCAGCTTGGCAGAGTGGACAATGCCACAGTCACATTTTAAATGAGTAGTCCAGTTCATTTACAATAAAAAGACAGGGTTTAAAAAACTTGCTAAGCGATCTTTAAACTTTCAGCACCTAATTGTATGTATAAAAGGCACACACCCCAAACTGCTTTTCTTTACTACAAACAGTAGTAACTGAACCCATAATACCTATCTATGAAAATTTTAGTAGAGAAATGGTCTTGGGGAAATCTGGACAGATTTGTCTTCTTTCTTAAAGGCAAGACATGCAATTTTCTGGCCACCATCATATCCAACTCTCACAATAGAATCACTCACCACCAGATCTCCAGGCTTCAACTTCTCAGCATCAACCAACCCAATAACAGGCAGGAAATATGTCTGTTAAAAAGAAATCAAAGTGAGCAAAACCAGATGTACCAGGAGAAGATCCTTTGCATCATTCCTCACACCCGGTTGGGCACATGGGTCTTACCTGACGTGTAGAGGTCTTGATCACAGCACACTTGCCCTTTCTCTGGGAATCCAGGTCAATGTTTGCTCCATCCTCCTCCTGGTCATTTGGGTCAACATCCAGCAGCTGAAAACCAGGGTGAAAGAGTTCATAACAATGTTACCAGGCTAGTAGGATTAATGCTTCCAACATACATGCATTAGAAGAAATAAAACTTTCCATCATCCATCAGCAGTAGAGTCCTGAAGGCATTAAAGCCATCCTGTAAAAATTGTTTTCTTCCTTTCCTTATGAAGCAGCACGCAGTAGTGCATAGAAAGGCATAACAAAATCCAGAACAAAGTAGTAGCTAATGGCACTGATTCCTTCTCCCATACAGCAGCTCACATTAAGGCTTAAGCTCATTAAGTTTTTAAACAGTAGTACAAAGCAATCCCATTTTTAATAGCAAACTATCAGCATTCTTCTTCCTATCATCAGAATTACTGAATTACAAAAAGAATGTGATGGAGTAACAGCCATGGCCTTTCATTTGCTGTTTCACAAGTTACAGAGAGCATGTGTCCAATTTCAGATGCTCAAGTTTACACTCAGAAGGGCTGTGCCACCCTCTGATGGTTTTTAAGTACAGATGAACAGTACCCAAAGCTTCAGGAATGACCCAGAGAACAAGTGGGCAAGAGACGTGCACTTCCAGGTCACAAATAAAAACAACAGAAAAACCTGAAAGTCCTGGCTCTGGCAGCACTGGAAGTCTGAGAATACTCCAGGTCTTGAATCCCGGGTGAGTTCCCTGCCTTTCTCCCTGCCACTATAAATTTCACACACTTCTCACGTTACTATGTAAATGCCCACAACCCTCACCTCAATAACATTGGAGACAAGGTATGGCAGGGTTTTGTTCACTTTGATCTTTTCACTGTTTTCTTTGATCTTGTCTTTCATGGCCTGGAGCTCGTGGGTCACTCTCAGTACCTCACTCTTCATGATCTGCAATTGGTACACAGAAGAAAGAAAAAGGAATCGTGTCAGAAAACTGAGGCAAGAAAAAATTAATAGAGTGTTCCAAAAGCAAACAGTTACAGAAATGTAAGTCTGAGGAATAAAGGGAAATGTAATATATAAAAAAGCAAAGCCAGCAAATTAGCCAAAATTTGTTAGGAATCAAGGCTACACAGCCCATTGGTCTCTAACTAATCAATAACCCCAAACAATTTCTTCCCGGTGTCACTTGGTAGCCTCAGCCTGATCAGTGCAACAGCTTACAGGGCTGCAATGTAACCTACATATCAATATGGCCCAGATATGGCAACTGTGGCTTGGTTTGGATGTGATCTTTTAATACATACAGATACACAAGTAACTACATATACACACCTATTTTAGTTATGTTTTGCAAGGTGGCTGGAACTAGATGATCTTTAAGCCCTTTGCAACACCGAGCATTCTATGATTCAGCCTGGAGAAGAGAGGGCTCCAGGAAGACCTCATTAAAGCTGCCTTGTAAGAAAGATGGGGACAGACTTTTTAGTAAGACCTGTTACAACAGGACAAGGGGTATGGGTTTTAAACTTCAAGAGGGTAAATTTACACTGGATATAAGAAATTTTACAGTAAGGACAGCAAAACACTGCAACAGGTTGCCCAGAAACATGGTGGATGCCCCATCCCTGAAAACATTCAAGACCAGGTTGGACAGGGCTCTGAGC